ATTTGCTTGAATAATTCTCACCACAACCACACTGCTACTACTGCCACTAGACGTCAAATTTTCCTGCAATCAGTTTACCCCAACTATGCCCACAATGATACATATCATTTGTATAACTATATAAAAATTGTCATAATTTAATACTTTCTTTAAGTCTTTGTGGTGTCTCAACTGTGAATAGATTCATGAAATGGAAACTTCAGTAGCATCTCGAACTTTATAAGCCATAAGGCGAACATAGGCAAAGTCAGGACTACTCAATTTCTCATCTAACTAATAAGTTAATATTAATTTTGTATAATTTAGAAGTCATTAATTGATAGCCAAACGGTATAGAAAGATCTCGATTTTTCTCTTCAAATGTGAATTTGAGACAGACTAAATGACAGATTATCATTAGCTATCTAAGTATGTTATGTTAATTGAACACAAATAATTTTATGGATTATATTTTTTTTAAATTTTATCTGTTTGTAATATATATGATATAATTAAATGTGATAAAATTCTTAAAATTACTTCAATTGTGCAATATTTGTGTAAATATTGGAATAAGTTTTTTACAAATTTCGTTCCAATATTTATGTTCACAGTACAAATTTGACGGATGGAAGTTAGCCGAGAAAAAGTGTAAGATTTTTCCGTCGCAACCCCCTTTGTATGGTATGAACGAGATTTAATAATATCCATCTCCCTTGCACTTTTTCTTATCTTGCCATGAAAGAAATATTATTTTATATGACGCTTCATTTTAATAGATGCTAGTAATTCATTTATTTGTATTTGTTAATCAATAATATAATACCTACGTTTATCAATAATAATATACTACGAAAGTAACCTCGTTCCAACCGAGTGTTCCAGCCATGACACTCACGCATGTTTTTTATTTTCATATATATAAAGTACAGGCTGTATATTATATCTCCTTTGCGACACAGGCCTTCTTTAATTTCTAAGAGGGTTTTAGGGCAAGGATATGTCTACCGCACTACCCCCATGCGTTTTCACATGGCGGACTTTTATAAATCATAAATTATGACTTTACAACATATAATATAATACATATAATAATCATTATGTCATGTCAAATCGGCAGTGCAGGAATTGTTCGTAATTTATTAAAGAACTTCAATTACCTGTCTGAGCCTGTCAAAGGTCCAGCCTAACATAGGCTTCCCCCATTGATTACTGCATAGAGAAAGAATTTCTTGCAGCCTGGATATCTTTGTAATTCTATCAAATTAGTGTCAGTAATGAAATTTAGTTTAACTATTTATCTGTGAGTAGTAAACCAAAGCATTGTGATTGTGATAGTAATTGGAGTCATAAGTGTCAAGTTTGAATATTAAAAAAAACTCCATATACCTATTGTGGGCTAAAAGGGTTATTGTCAAGTAAAATTTATTATTAATTCTAAACAATGACAACATGTTTACCTTTCTAGAATTGTTAAGGGCAAAAGAAAACAATAAAAATTAAAGAGAATGACATATCACAATGTTACTGTATGATAATTAAGTTAGTTTAGTTTTTTTTTTTAAATTATAGTTTTTAATATTTGTAGAAATCATTTGTTTTTAATTATTAATTCTGTTATATAATTGAGAGTTATAAAGAAATAACATTATAGTGATATGACTTCACTTTATTTATTTTTTTGTATCGGTAACGATTGTCAAGTAGTCAACTTGGCTAACCCACAGTTATATTCCCAAGAGTACTTTGTGGTAATGTTCTTTTCAATGGTGATAATCCACGTTCATATTGAGTTCATAATAGGAAACTTATGGACAAATGCAGATTAAAGTTAGATGTTTTTCATTTACAATACTTTTATTCTGTATTTAGTCAGTCCTTACAACATATTAAAGTTATCTTAACTAAAATCGAGATCCTACAGATACAAACATGGCTTAACTTCCAGATCCTGATAGAAAGATCCGGATTAAATAACAGAGGAGAAGCCCACAATGTCTCTCTTTGAATTAAGATAATTTCTATCAAAAAGAGGTTACATTTTTTTTCTCCTACTCCATTACTATGAATCTTATAGTAGAAATATACTCTGATTGGTGAGACATTTTACATATACCTGCAACTTCCAGTGGAACCCGAAAAATTGTCAAATTACATACTGTTTAAGCCAAATTAGAGCCAACAAATACCTTTCTTATTCCATGCAATTATTTCGAGTTGTAGACACTTGGAAGTCTCGACAATTGGTACATGGTAACACTTATTGTACAGTATAGTAACGCTGTTTAATATTTAATCAATAAATATTAAGTCGACGCACTGTTTCGCGACACTTTCACTTAAATGTCACTTAACGCCGTTGGTGATTCATGCGCACGGTTTTTGCGACAAAACATGCACCATCATAATCGCAATGATGCGGTCGGGCCAACACCATTCTGGATTACCTGTGGACATAAAGAGGTAATTACAATATGTATCAAGCATAATACTTAGCTGTTGGTTCGCCTATCTATGAATACAAGTTGATGACTAGACAGGGACATTCAAGTGACAAAGGACTGCACAGTCCACCTGATGGCAAGTGAATACTCCTGGCTCGTTTACACATCTACATGTTTTCTTAATTAAGAATCGAAATACCAATGATTTGTCAACCCTGAGAACAAAGACACCACATTACTCATAAACAAGTGATTTAAAAAATAATTGTACTAAAAAAGCATTTAATATACAACAACTTTTTTTCATATTCCTACATTGTCATCCGATTCTGAGTTATATTCAAAATTTCAAGCCTCTAGCTCATCGGGAAGTCTTCGAAATTTGAGTTGCAAGATTCCACCACCCGGAATGACAGACTGACATACAGACAAACAAGAAAGTGAAATAATAAAAACGTGGTAAAATATTCAGCAGTTCTCATCCTTCATCATATGAAATGCCTACCTAATGAAACTTGCAAGGAGCTAGTGAACACAAGTGGGTCAGAATCATGTAATGAGGCTGTAATTAATAATCCCCGATGCTACTAAACAATGACTTAAATGAAATTATCTAAACAAATTTACAGTTACAAGGTAATAATATCAATATAATAATGTGAGTAACACATTTCCGCTCCGGAAGAAGTATGCACTGGTCACAGTGAACAGTGGTAATGCTGCGTACAGACTGATGAAACGTAACTTGCAACGTAACGTGAAAGGATAATTTCCCTTTTTAAAGCAGAGTTTGTGTCCCTATTAAATCTTCTCACATGTAGCATGTCATTGGCGAATTCATCGTAACCGCCATAAAGGAAGAAGAAGAACGTGAAAGGAGCATTTCATCATCAGTGTGGACGCAGTGAACCGAACATGTAGCTCTCGCATATGTGCCCGACGTGCGCGAACGTAGCGTCAATCTGCTGAGAATACGCGAAGAATAATTTGTATTTTATGGATTTCATAAAATATCTCGTGCTCTGTATGCCTCCATTAATCGTGTGGCTTTATCTTCACTCCACGATTCGTCTGTAGCTGTACCTGTCCACACTGGCCTTTGTGGTTGTTCGAAAAACCGACAAATCACGTATCGCTCTACGTGCGACTTGAAATGATCGTAGCGTGCAAATGAAAAGCACAGTTCACACACGCAAGGCGTCCAGACTATGATAATTAGTTACAGTGTTACATTCCATGATACATTACACTAATGTAGACGACAAATTAATTCATTTCACGTTACGTTTCATGTTAGTCTTGCTCTTGTGATGGGTTAGTTTATTGTTTACTAGCGATCCGCCCCGGATTCATTTGTGAATCATTTAGATCATCCAGGGACCCACTCAAACACAAACAGTAATTTCTTCAAAATCAGTCGAGCCATTTTCAAGTTTTTGCGAAACTAACGGACAGCAATTGATTTTTATATATAGAGACGATGATGTATATGGGTAGTTTTATATAGTTGTAAAACATCATTAATTCATTAAAAAGAAAAATGGTTTTGTTTATGGTAAATCCACGCTGCAGCTATAATATGGTTGTGGCACGAATGGGTTGCCTCAATTCGGGAAGGACCACACTCTCACAGAATACCAGTGTAAAATAGCAGTTTAATTCTGCTGTTTTGTATGGCGAGTGTAGAGAACTGCAGACCTTTCTTACAAACAAAGCATTCCATATAGACTTCAGAGTTGACAAGGCATTTGAATTTAAATCTTAACCAAGGATAGCTGTGTATGTCTATGGGCCACAGCATCCACTTACAATCAGGTATACTGTGTGCTCATTTGTCACCCTTATTTAAAAAAATATAATCGGGATGTGGCTGTGTCGTGGATTTTACGTGAATACGTTTACGTAATGAAACGATTTCAAAATGGCGGCGCTCCCCTCTCCGCCGTGCGCGATGCGTCACACTCCTTACTCTTCGATCCTTTAGCTAATGAGTGGTGTAATAAAATTTTGGATTTAGGTGATAGATATACAGGGTTATTTTGCAATAATGGGCCAAATTTGCAGAGAAGGCTCAGAATAAATAATATAAGCAAATGGTGAAGAGACATTAATTTAAAAAAATCTTAAACTTTCTGTCATTTTCATCTTTTAAATTCAAAATGTGTGGTAATGCATTATTTTAACTGACTGCCATTCATAAATATCTAAGGCTTACTTACTATTTTACTACGCACGCACAAATTCGTAAGGGTCGAAAACGTTGTGAATTGAATCGCACACAGAGGTGCGCGCGTACGCGTAGTTGTTGCCCATAAGTCAAATTCAATTTGGCGTAATATCAAATAAAAATAGGAGTCTTATTTACTCGTATTTTTAAAAACTGCAATAACAGTATATCATTATTCATATATTTGAACTTAACTTTAAAATTTGGCTACTCTGTGAAAAATAGTCTGGTATAGCTGTAATACCAAACTGTACGCCCCGATTTCTGTTCTCATCAGTTTTCTGTATTGCCTTCAACTATGGAAGCAAGTTTAAAGAGGTATTTACGTCAAAAACCAATTTGTAAGTGACCTAGTCGTAGAAGCGGTCGCGATCCGGCGAGGCGCGGCGCTGAGCGGGCGCAGGCGCGGGCGCGGGCGCTGCGGCGGGCGCCGAAGCGGAAGCGGAGGCGGGAGCGGCCGGCGAGCCGCCGCAGTTGAGGAAGTCCCACACGAGGATGGTGTCGTCGTGCGACGACGAAACTATCTGGAACTCATCGAACTGCAGCCGGAACACTCGCCCCGTGTGCTCCTGTGGACAAGTGGTTTTAAACTTCTCTATGGTAAATGTTTTAAAGTCCTGCCGTTGCCAATCTACCTGTGTAGAGCAACAACTATATCAAATATCTCCCTTATCTGGAAATCTATGGGGAGGCCTGTGTTCTACCAGCAGTACTACCCGTGCGGATAAATAATGGGATTGAAAGTGGCGTCGTCTTTATTCATTTCTCGCTTGCACACTGTCGCTATGTATACTCACACGAGCCGGTAGACTGCAAAAAAAAACATTGCGATATGCGTTTTCCGGTACGTTTGATAACTTCAGTCCAACTTATCATTGGAATCAATGATAACAGCGAGTAATACCGGGAGTTATCTAGGCTAAATTTTATCCGAAAATTTAGAGATTTTATTAAAATAGAAATATTGATAAGATGACATAAATATTCCTGATTATCTTAAGTCTAAATAAAGCCCCATTAATAGATCCCACCTAGGCGAAGCCAGAGCGGGTCCCTAAATGTTATTTTTAAATTAATGTACCTACTTGCGTATACAATTATTTTCAAATGTTTTCCGTTAAAAGAAAATTAACTGAATCATATAACTTTATAACGATAAACCGTTATTAGCGAGTTTGTTGTGCATGTTGACGGTACGGGCTCGATGAGCCGCCATTTCTAATCTCATTCTTGATTCGTACGGACTGTGTACTTTAATACGCTGTAATGAATAATTAATGAAACGGTATATTTTGAGAGGTTATATCATAAAGTTACAGCCTACTATGTCCCATTCCTAGGCACAGGCCTCTTCTCATTTCCGAAAAGGTTTTAGGGCTAGGTTAAAAGTCCACCGCGCTGCCCCAATACATACTGGTGGACTTCATGTCTCCGAAATATATTTTTTCATTTCTAAGACATTGATGATAGATGTAGATGTCTATGGGCCACAGCAACCACTTACCATCAGACGGACTGTGTGCTCGTTTGTCACCATTATCCTATATTATATTTAAAGAAAAACATGCAGATTTCCTCACGATGTATTCCTTCACTGTAGAGCATGTGGTAAATCAGCACTTAAAATTGTAATTAATAATTTTATTTTATTGTATTTATGTTATGCATTGCTGAATCGAATCCGAAAACAAGTAATTGTATGGCCTTCAAATATTTTCTTGGTCTGTATATTTGTTTGTCTTTGTGTAATTTATGTTGTAAACTGCCTCCATGATACAGGAGAAAATCATAGTGTGAGAGTATTAACATTTTATCATATGGAACAAATCAATTTTAAATAAGATAGGCCGTTGCAGTTCCTTTAAAAAATTTTAACAAACTTAAAAATAACAGAAGTTTTATTGATGTATACTTTTTTAATATTATGTTCGTCGATGTTTTTAAAACAGCTGATGCAATTTAAATTACACTTTTTTATTTAACAAGCTGTATCTCAATGATGGTCTTTTTAAATTTGAAGAAAATATGGGGTAAAGTTTCCATTGTAACAACTATTTAGACGACATTCTAGTTGTTACCTTGAGCTTGTAATAATGCTTAGTTCACTCAAAAGGGCTTTAATTTTTTTTTAATGATTTTTGTTATTCTGCCGGCTAACCAACATCATCGAAAAACCACGATAGGGCTCAGCGGCGACTTGAATAGTACTTTTGGGGAGGGTTATATAGAAGGAGTAATTGTTGCTGTGGCGCAATTTGTTAGACTTCATATATTCTCAATATATTTTTAAGTTGGGCTATTCCATTGTGCATATAGAAACTGAACAGCTAAGCAACAGTATCGAGACTAAATTGATTTGGTCTCTAGTATAATATATAAAAACGATTACATAATATATTATATAAAACTGACGTGACAAACAATCAGTACTGACAAATGACTACTGCAGTCCATGGACATTTGCAGCCAACGTCAAACAAAGATGAAACAGGTACCTATGAGGACAAAAAATGAATTGTCTCACATCCTGTGATAAAACTTTTTGTAATAAAATTTTTATACTCTTTAGACAGGAACAGTTAACTTTTACTATTTATTAAAAAAAATGTTTTATAACGTATATATAACTTACTGAGAATTATTTACTTTCTATATAAATTTAAGAGTAACTTCCAACAATAAAATAGAGTAGAATAATTTTATTCAATACTAGCGATCCGCCGCGACTACGCACGGGTGATTTCTGGATATCGACAACAGAACGACTTACCGGGTCCAATTGAAATGTGTTCAAACTGTCTAAGTACCCACACAAAAAAAACGTCAAAATCGGCCCAGCTATTTCAGAGATGATTTCTTATATTTACGCGAACACTACACATTGAATAAAACTATTTTTACGGATTTTATCGCGTTTAATTAACTTATTTTATATTCCCGACGTTTCGGTTGCTTTCCAGCAACCATGGTCACGAGAGACTGAGGTGATTGACGTCCCAATGTCAGTGTTAAACCGGAGTACCTTCAGCTTTTTTCATTAATAATTTTGGTCCGATCTACGCAGAATGAACTAACTGTGTCTTGAAGCCTTGCAGTGGTATGCTTGGGTTTAGTTTTAATTTTATGAATTACAGGATCCCAAGCAGGTGGTAGTACCCAGCCTCCCTCTCTATTGAAATTAGGATGTTTTTTAATTTCAATAGCCTCACGTATCATCCTTGGCAGGAATCGATGTTCTTTCGCGAGAATTTGTGATTTATCAAATCTAATGTAATGGCGGGGGCCGTCTAGGATATGATCACAAACTGCAGACTTCCCGGAACGTTGGTGCTTCACGTCAGCTATGTGTTCTTTTACGCGGGTTTTTATAGATCGTTTTGTTTGCCCTATATATGAAAGACCACACTCACAATCAATCTTGTTGTGAGTGCAAGAGTGTACAAGAGTTTTATTCAATATTTCAGAGTTTTTTGCGAGACTAATGGACAATAATTGATTTTTATATAATACTAGCTGATACCCGCGATTTAGTCCTCGTTGCTTGATATAATAGCAAAGTTGAAAAATTGAATATCGTCCTGTCGTAAAGGAGAAACTAATAAGTGTGTTAGAAAGCAAAAACTTGTGTTTGTCACACTTATCCTATAAAAAAAATCTAAACAAAATGAATGTTGGTTAAAACCAGTCAGCACTCACTACGAGCGTGCGCAGACACAGGTCCTGGTGCGGCGTGCGCACGTCGAGCGCGGCGCGCAGGTCCCACACCTTGATCTTGCCGTCGTATGCACCGCTCACTATGCGCTTGTTGTCGAACCTAAAACATCACCCATACACGTCACAAGTGGGGGTAAGCAGAGTCCAAGGAGCAGCGAAATACTCTTTTGTTTATACAATAGAATAACGAGAATTTTTAGTTTAATTGAGAACATATTTCATTGTGTTCACAATATTGTTAATATTATTCAATGAGAGCATTAACATCACACTCACACACTTGCACACAATATACACACAACTTAACAAAATCCCAGAAAATATACAAAACATGCTCAAAGTTCAAAAACCTTAATAAACTAAGTTTGTATAAAAAGGGTATTTACGTGGTAGAACCATGTTGCAGCTATATTAGTATTATAGTTGTAGCACGAATGGGTCGGCTCGACTGGGGTAGGACAACGCTCCCACAGAATACCAGCGTAAAACAGCAGCTTAACACTGCTGTGTTTCATTTGGTGAGTGTAGAGAACCAGAAACCTTTTTTAGTGGAAAAGAGGCATTACATCTTAGTCCTCACGGGTGACAACGCATCTGCATTTTGATTCGCAAACGAGGATAGATGTAGATGTCTACGGGCCACAGCAACCACTTACCACCAGGTGGACTGTGTGCTCATTTGTCACTCTTACCTATAAAAAAGGGTTATAATATTAAGGAATTTATGTATAATAATAACCCTTGGGAATGAGGTGATCACTACCAAGTTATTTTTAATTGTGTTACATACATGATTGTATCTAAGCAGTGGTGTAGCTAGGCGTGGGCGAAGTGGGCCCTCGCCCACGGCCTCGAAATTAAAGGGGCCTCGCGAGGCCTCCTAAAATTTGATGCCCCCAGACTTTACCACAGATGACTAATAATTAATTTGATCACTTTCACGCTTTAAAAAGAAAGTCACAAATTTAAGTGTGTTTGTTTGGGGCCTCACAAGAAGCCCCTCTTAAGTGCGACTGTGAGGCCGTTGTAACTACCTTCAAAGACCGCGACTGTTACATTGATGGAATACAAGACTTGTCAGGAATTAATAGATATGAGTAGAGGTATGTCGTGTCAAATCATGTTTGGTAGGATATATCTATTGGGTAGATCCTTGGAACGAAAGAAAAGTGGCCTCACTGATGCAACTTCGCCCAAGTTTATATTAATCCACGCTTACAATCAGAGGCGTACCTCTGATTGTAAGGTGATATTTAAAAAAAAACCCGCTGGGTTTCATGCTGTTGCTTCCAAGGACATAGGTTTTTTTTCGAACCAGTGGTAATTAAACAAAAGAGTGACTTTCAATAAATATTATTTATGATGTATATTGAATAAAAAGTTTCTGTTTCTGTATAATTATGAATAATACACGAGTCACGACTCATCCTAACGACGCACGATAATATACGAACACGCTCGATAGTATTTTATATTAAGCTTGGCGTGCTCAGCAGAGCGGGACAGTATTTCATGCCGGCACAACGCCTGCAACTTTACAAGGCGCAGGTTCTGCCTCACACGGAATACCGAATCCTTTCCGATCGGCTCGATTCATTGGCACTGCGAAGAGATGTTGTATCCCTTTGCATTTTCTTTCGCATCTACCATGGGAGTGCTCTGAGGAATTGTTCGGATTAATCCCAGCCGCCAAATTTCACGAACGCACATCGCGGCAGGACTCCCGATACCATCCACACCATCTGGATGATTGGCGGTCCACCACTGTGTGATTTAAAAGATGTTTTCTTCCTCGCACGACTTCCTTGTGGAATCGATTACCATCAGCGATTTTTCCGGACCGATACGACTTAGGGACCTTCAAGAAAAGAGCGTACTCCTTTTTAAAAGGCCGGCAACGCATCTGCAATTCCCTCACTGGTGTTGCAGTTGTTCATGGGCGGCGGTAGTCACTTACCATCAGGTGAGCCGCATGCTCGTTTGCCCCCTCTCCTATAAAAAAAAAAACTTTCGGTATGCAACCCTAAAAAAAGATAATAAATGTCTTCTCACCGTATACAACGCACTAGCTCCTCGTGACCTTCCAGAACTCGTATGCACTGGCCACACTCGATGTCCCACAACCGGATGGTGTTGTCCGATGAGCCAGAGACCACTAGACGGTCTCTATACTGCAGACACGCTATGCCACGTTTGTGCCCATTCAATGTACGTACGAATTCGCATGAAGAAGTATTCCACACCTGGAAATAAAATGAAGGTTAAAAAAATTATCAGAACATAAACTACATTACAATATTTTCCTGGGTAGTTTTCAATTTCTACTAAAGACAAGTGGTAAAATTAAAAATCATGTACAACCGACTACAATATCAATAAAATGAGAATATCATCAACGTGGTCAAAGTCAATTAAATACGCAACATTCAGAACAACTCAATAATCACTGGTCAGATCTTCATCAAATTTATATGGGACCAGACCATTTTTTATTTGAAAGCACCAGCTTTCAAATAAAAAAAGAATCATCAAAATTGATTCACCAGGAAAAAGTTCTGAGGTAACACATATAAAAAAACAGTCAGTTAAAAATGTACCAAAATCGTAAGACCAGTACCAGCGTTAAAGGTTAACAATTTCATTCAACCATCTTTGGAGTTTTTGTTCAAGGTTGGTTGTAAGTATGCATAGGTTGAGCTCATGTTCTGGTCCGTTTGAGGTTATATTCACACAATATATTTATTATTTATTTCTACAATCAAATAATTTCGCAGACAAGGTTCAGAGGAAGTAATATAGGCAAATGGTGAATAAACATTTATTTAAAAAATATATTTTAAATTCAAAATGCGTGGTATTGCATTATTTTAACTGATTTTACTGAGCACGCAAACATTCGTAAGGTTCGATCAGTAGGCAAAAACGTTGTTGCCCATAAATCATATTCAATGGGATAATTTCAAATAAAAATACAAACCTTATTTACTCGTATTTTCAAAACCTGGCAATAACGCTATATCATTATTTATATATTTGAACTTAAGTTTAAAATTTGGCTATTCTCTGGAAAATAATCCTGTATTTTCACACTTCTAAGCTTATACAGAAAGATAGCAAACTGACCTTAATAGTGCGGTCCCCACTAGCACTGACTATGTACTTCTCGTCGAAGTCCACGACGTTGACGGCTGCTCTGTGCCCGACCAGGACTCGTCGCAGCATGATCTCAGTAGTGGACGTCATATCCCATACGGCTATTGATCTATCCTGGAGTTGAATATCAAAATACATTTCATGTCATAGGCCACAAATCCATGCAAAAATTAACCAAAAGGGTAATTCATAAGACTTCATCAGCCTAAAATTTCATTGGTGAAAATGACAAATCCCGTTGTAGGGAGGTCTTGTTATTGACATGACACATTACCAATCATGGAAGTTTCGCATCTTTGACGCTGTTGCCCATCGCCAGTTTATTTAATAGAATAAGTGTGACAAACCAGCAATCATCAATGTGTCTTCATCTATCTTCAATTAAAAATTAAAATGCGAATGCTTTGTCACCAAAAAGACTAAGATGTAATGCCTCATTTCCAGTAAAAAAAAAATTCTCTTGTCCTCTCTACACTCACCATACGAAACAAAGCAGCATTAACAGATAGCAATCTTACCCAGGTATTCTGTGAGAGCGTGGTCCTACCCTCGTCGAGCCGATTCATTCGTGCTACAAACAATATAACTGCTGCACTATGGCTCTACAACATGAAAAACGACGCGGTATATAAGTCGAGAGTAAACGAAAAATTTAATTCCAAAATAAGGGTGCTACCATCTACTGGGAAAATGTGACAGATAACATAGGCTCCCTATAGAATGGGGATATTTGCCATATTTGCCACACTTGAACGGCATGTAGGCAACAGCAGTTATTTTTTTAGTTGTTAATGGGAAAATACTGGTGCTTATCTCACCCGTGGGACGATATGGAGTAGTGGATATTCTAACACTACCAGTAAACGGATTGAATTGTTCAAATTTGTTTATTTTTTCATAAGATAAAAATAAAAACTAAATTGTAAAATGTTTTCTCAACATCCCACGAAAAATAAAAAGCTTTTCAGTTAATAAGTTTCATATAGTCTCATTCTACAAGGTTTTTTTATCGAGTCAATGAGGGCTAATAAACTTCCGTTGTCCAGATATCACTAGTTGCGTATAAGGTTTAATTATGTATAGTAATCATACCTCATTCGCAAGGTATTATTCATAGGTATAGTAAGTATAACTGATGCGATATATAATTGAGAAGTTTCGATTTAAATAAAAGTGTGTCGGCTTTTAGACATACATAAAACAATGAAAAATTCTTTAAACTTTTGCAAATTTTTTACTCTCCTTTTAATTTTTCTACTTTTAGGATATTCACATTACAGATATTCCATTTGCTTAAAGCTTCGTTCAAACTGGGGCGAATCCCGCGCAGGATGCGGGACGCGAATTTACGTGATTCGTTCGCCCGCTTAGCCTCCCAAATTGAGACGAATCCCTTACGTCATTATTTTTGGTTTCCCAACAGGAAAACATGTCTTTCATATCATAGATATATCAAAATTAGCAAGCAGATTTAGTTCTGCAGCATATGCTGTAAAAAGATTAGAAATCTTACCAGTGTGAATACAGTTAGACTTGTTTACTTTAGCTATTTCCATAGCATAATGTCGTATGGTATTTTGCTATGGGGACACGCGACTGACACTGAAATTATATTTGTTTTACAGAAAAGGGCCACAAAAATTTAAGTAAATTAATATATTAACTTTGGCCTCTCAATACATTTATGAAAATGTAATGTACATGCACAAAAATAAAAGTAGTTCTACAAAAATAAGTGATATTCTTTCTGTAAATACTAGGAACAGACACAAGCTAGTAGTACCAGTTACTCGACTCCCAAAAAATCCCAGAAAATATAGAAAATTTGACCTGCTCTAAGTTCAAAAACTTTATTAAACAAAGTTTGTATAAAAAGGGTTATTATAATATTTAGGAATTTATGGATGATAATAACCCCTGGGAATGAGGTGATCGCTACCAAGCTATTTCGAATTTGTTTTGTGTGGTTAATTGTGATTGCATTATTGTAAGCTGTTATTTAAAAAAAAAGTCCCGCTGGGTTTCTTGCTGGTTCTTCCAAGGACAGAGATTTTTTCGAACCAGTGGTAATTAAACAAAAAAGTGACTTTCAATAAGTATTATTTATAATCTAAATTGAATAAAAAAGTTTCTGTTACTGATTTTTTGTTCTTTGGCGCGCTTGTACAAAGTTACATCGTGCGTCTAGTTTTCATAGTGATGTGCTTGATAGTATTCGGTCCGAATTCATTGGAATAGATATGATATTTATTTTATTTGGATATTTTTATTTTACTTATTCCTTCGAGCAACTAGACTATAATGCTACCATTTTTTTGAGTCTCCTAATTGGACTGTGTTGCCAGTATCTCTATGATTTTTAAGATTTATGTGTGATTCAAAGACAGAAATACTGTTTTCTATGATTTAAAAATAAATACAATTAAAATGATTATGTATAATTTTTAACATTCATAATATATAAAACAACATTTAATAAATATAATTTTCTCCCTCAATTAAGCAATGTTATAGGTGTATTTTTTTAAGTAATTGGCGATACTATTCTGGCAACACCCTTACCACCGCTATTTTAATCTGTTTCGTCTTCCGTACTCTCGTGCGCACAGACTACGTTCTTCTGTTTATCGTTGCGCTTTATTGGACTAATTTTGTTTGTGTTTGGTAATTTTGTTGAAAATGCCGAAACGAGGAAAAACATTGAATAGTCAATGTCGTGAGCTTGTACTAAAGCTACAGGATTACTTTGAGCGTGAGTCACAAAATGGCGGCCCTTTGATTCCTGTCACTCAAGTGAAAGATCGGGTTTCACAAGCTCTTGGGATTGGTGCAAAAACACTATATAATATAAATAAAGAAAAATTTGGTGCTTCTGGAAATGAAGATAATGTTTTACGCACTCCTAAGAAAAAACGAAGACAAAAGCCCGTGACAGGTGTTGATGTTTTTGATGCAGATGCAATAAGAAACCACATATAAATGGTTATTATACTAGGAACGAGTTTCCAACTAGACGTTTGCTTTTGGTCTCTTTAAAAGAAGCTGGCTTGTTTAAAGGCGGTAAAACGGCGTTGTCAAAACTATTGCACTAAATTGGGTTTGAATATAAAAAAACGAATAAAAGGAAAATATTAATGGAAAGATTTGATTTAATAATTAAAAGGAGCAAGTTTTTAAGAGAAGCCAGAAAAATCGAGTCTTGGGACAACGTCGTTTTTGTTGACGAAACATGGTTAAATGCGAACCACACTGTGTCACGCTCTTGGACTGACGAAACAAAAGCATCAACCTCAAAGGTTCCAATTGGAAAAGGATCGCGACTGATAATTTGTCACGCCGGTTCTGCTGGAAGTGGTTTCTTTGAAAATGGACTGCTGGCTTTCGCGTCAAAAAGTACTTCCGATTACCACGAGGAGATGGATACAGACACTTTTACGAATTGGTTCGAAAATCAATTATTACCCAGCCTGCCAGAGCCTTCTATCATAATAATGGACAACGCTTCATATCACTCGAAACAAGTGAATAAAGCGCCTACTCAGGCCGACAAGAAAGCTGATCTCGTAGCATGGCTACACCAAAATGGAATTGAAACTACTGCCAAAATGCTAAAGTCTGACTTAGTAAAGTTGGTACGCGAAAATAAAACATCAAGAGTCCGTTATGAAGTAGATGAGATAGCTCTAGCACATGGACATCGGGTACTTCGAATTCCGCCTTATCACTGCCAGTACAATGCCATTGAGCTAATATGGGCACAAATCAAAGGTATTGTTTTTTATCGCATAAGTTATGAATATGAATAATTTGTACTATTATAACATCCAATATTCAGCATATAAGTAAAAAGATACATAACTAAGAAATAAATATCTCATGTCCCTTACATGTAGGTAATTGTGTAACATTTCGTTTATTTAATGTAATAAATTAACGTTATTTAATGTTTACATTACAGGTTACGCAGCTCGTAATAATACGACTCCGCCATTCAGTACTAATAAAATGATGGGTCTATTAAAAGATGTTTGCAGCAAAATAACGAAAGAAGATTGGGTCAAGGTCGTCGAAAAGACCCGAAAACTAATAACAGAAGATTATGAACGCGATATAAGAGTGGACACCATTATAGAGAATGAAATTGTCATACAAGTGACTGATAGCGATGACAGCTCTGGCGAATCTGGTTCAGAGTCTGAATAATTGTTTTAATAAATGATAGGTAGTCATTTATTAAAACATCTTGTACCTACTCTATTCATTAAAATGTGTAACAGTGTTTACAAATTTGTTTTATTTTGATATGTCCTCGACCAATTATCTACGCCCATCAAGGATACTCCACCTAATAAAGAACCTGTGTCTTTAACTATTATTGTTTTGATTTTATTTAATTACACACTATACTAGAATATTTAAAAACAAACTGTTCCCAAATGATATTAGGGTTACTGGTTCAGTCACTTCACTAGTATTGTCAATTCGTCATGTGTCAAATCGGTAATAACTCAGCGGCCGGACTATAATTGAAGAATAATATCAAGATTTTTTTTTAGGATAAGGGTGAGAAAAGAGCACATAGTCCACCTGATGGTACATCTATCCTCAATTAAGAATCAAAATGCAGATGTGTTGTCACCAAATGCAGGAGTGAAATTGAATATATCGTTTCCAGTAAAAAGGGTCTTCGGTTCTCTACACTCACCATACGAAATATAGCAGCGTTAAGCTGCTATTATATGCTGGTATTCTGTAGAGCGTGGTCCTTCCCCTGTTGAGCCGACCCATTCGTACTAGAACTATACTACTAATATAGCTGCAGCATGGCTCTACCACGTACAACAATACCACTAACGATGAAAAGAAGAAAATGGTTCATGAGCCGAGTACTCAACGCATAGAATTTGGAGGATAGTTTCACACTTTGATACCCACATTACGAAAAGATAAAAAAAGATTTTATATATTGTATGCCAGAACAATGCTATAACGAAGTTTTACCAAGAATCGAACAAAATATATTTTTTCCTATTATTTTCAGTTTTTTACTTTATGAAAAAATAATTCAAACATGTACCACAGATAAGCACGGGACGGGTTTAGGTACGTTCAAAACCTATAGAATTAGTTAGGAAATGAGGTTTTTTATTACAAAGCTAAATTATTTCACTAGCTCCAATAAAATAAGTTGGACCCTGTAATTTAATATACACCTAAGTCACTATTTTTGACGTATCAATCATTGGTGGTTGTTTCATATTTTGATCAGGTCATATTTTACCGGTCTTTGTTTACACTTTCTACATATACATACAACAATATGTTCATCGAATTGACCAAGCATTAGTTAAGAGTCCAATGTTGCCAAGAATTATTAACTATTTATGTACAAGCAAACATTTCAAACTCACCTTACTACAGGTAACCATCATGCCATTGCAGAATCTGAGATGGAGGACTGCCTCACAGTGGTGTATGAGAGTGTTCAGCATCGCTCCCGTATTGACGTCCCACACTCTGACTGTGCTGTCCGAGGAGCCAGAGATTATCGCTCGCTCGTCGTACTGGAGACAAAGTACTGAGCCTGTGTGGCCTTGAAGTTCCTGGAGAAAGATGATAATTGGTTTTAAAGTAAAATCATTTATTATAATTTATTTAATATAACAAATAATATAACATTTGTGCTGAGTTAAAGTTACAGCCTATATACGTCCCACTGCTGGGCACAGGCTACTTCGCATTTCTAAGATGGTTTTATGGCAAAGAAGTGGCGCCGCGCTGCCCTAATGCATGATGGCGAACTTCTTTGACATATATATATATATATATATATATTTTTATTTCTCAGACATGCAAGTTCCCTCACGATGTTGTCCTTCACTGCCGAGCACGTGGTAAATCAGCACTTAAAATTGTAATTAACAATTTTATTGGTGCCGGCGGGGATCTAACCCGAGTTGCTCGCATAATGTGAAATTTACAGCAAGCGCTGGACCCGTGAGCTACCACGGGTCAGGGGCTAAATGTTCAAAGTCATAAAATCAGAAACATTTTTATTCAATATAAATTATATAAACAATTCTTATTGAAAGTTAATCTTTTGTTTAATTTATCACTGGTTCGGAAAAACCCCTGTCCTGGAAAAAATCAGCAAGAAAACCAGTGGGTCTTTTAAAAAAAATATTCCAGCTTACAATCATGTTTGTTACACAATTAACAACAAAACAAATGAGATATTGTTTAGTAGTGATCACCTCATTCCCCTGGGTTATTATCATAAATAAATTTGAAAGGTGGTAGATATATTTAAAAAAGCATACCTTAACACACTGCAATGTTTTTCTATCCCAAATCTTGATAGTGTTATCCCTAAGCCCTGATACAATTTTGTTGTCATCGTACTGTAAGCAATAGACGCCTTTGGAGTTCTCGGATCGACAGTTTATTCTCTGAAAAATAAATGAAGAAATACAAGTGATATCAGTGTAAAATAGCAGGACAATGCTGCTGTGTTTATAAAGTGAACGACGGGAACCGGAGAGGGTTTTTACTGGTGATAGGGTGTCTCATCTAAGTCCGTAGGGGTGACAACACATCTACATTTTAACTATTTTTAATTGAATCAGGTGCACTATGTGCTAAATTGTCACCATAATTCTATAAAAAAAAGTAATGTATTGGTAAAAAGGCTTAACTATTTTTACGTGGTAGAGCCATGCTGCAGCTATATTAGTGGTATAGTTGTAGTATGAATAGGTCGGCTCGACCGAGAAAGGAACACGCTCTCATAGAATACCAGCGTAAAATAGCAGCTTAATGCTGCTGTGTTTTGTATGGTGAGTGTAAAGACCCGGAGGTCCTTTTTTACTGGAAACAAGGCATTCCATCTTAGTCCTCACGTGGTGATAACGTAACTGCATTTTGATTCGTAATCGAGGATAGATGCAGATGTCTATGGGGCACAGCAACAACTTACCATCAGATGAACTGTGTGCTTGTTTGTCATCCTTATCATATAATAAAAAAAAAACTAACTGCTGTGTTTTTTAATTGGTTTATACTGAAATTAATATGTGGAACATCAACACTTCCAACATCTACTGCATTATGCCATTTTAAGTGAGCCACGGCTGTTGATTACGCACATATCAATTGTAACTCTCAAAACATTGTGCTGTACACCGCTAGTTATGTTGAAACAACTTTATTTTTTCTGCGGATGCAATTCACCAGTTACCCGCTAGTATGTAATATATACTAGCGGGTAACCGGTGAATAGCATCCGCAGAAAAAATAAAGTTGAAATATCGTTTTAAATTTGGAAGGGTTATAGTGTTTAATAATACATTCATTGAATTTGAATGATATTTAACTGTCAAATAAAATTGTCGGTACGATATGCGCACCACCTGCTGTATGTTAATTGTACTATGCCTATAACCTGCGCGCTAGTGCAAGCAATAAATTGAAAAAGTTTTACCGCAATCTGACGAACGGTATGGTAGCGCATAAAATACGAACAAACATTAATTTTTATATCATCATCATCATTACAGCCCTTCACAAGTCCACTGCTGAACATAGGCCTCCCCCAAGGAATGCTATATAGCATGGTTATAAGCCACCTGCATCCATTAACTTCCTGCATGTCTTACTAGGTCGTCACTCCATTTAGTGGCGGGCCGCCCAACACTTCGCCTACCAGTACGAGGGGCAAAGTGTAATTTTTATATATTACACGATGATAGCATTCACCTAGCACTCTTTGTACTGTATCCTAAATTGTTACGATAACTTACAATTAACCATATATTCACCTATTAGTCAGTAACTATAAGACTATACACTGCTTACCTGCAAGTTATGCCTGCCCATTCTCCAATTGTCCTCAATAGACTGTATATCCTGTATAATCTTGGGATAAAGCTGTCTGTAGAACGAGTGAGATGGATGCTGGCAACCCGGTTTCGGCTTGAACAGATAAAGGATCCTGAGGAATAGGAGATAAAATGTTAATGGATATATAGTCATAATCATTCTTAACTCAACTTTTACATCTTTTTTACGTGGTAGAGCCACACTGAAAATATATTGTATGGTTGTAGCAGAAATGGGTCGGCTCGAACGAGGAAGGACCACGCTCCCACAGAATACCAGTGTAAAATTCTGCTGTGTTTCGTATGGTGAGTGTAGAGAACCAGAGATCCTTTTTACTGGAAACGAGGCATTCCATCTTAATACTGAGGTGAGACATCGCATCTGCATTACGATTCTTAATCCAGGATTGTTGTGGATGTCTATGAGGCACAGCATCCACTTACCAGCAAGTATACTGTGTGCACGTTTGTCACCCTTATCCTAAAAAAAAATCGTCCATATATCTGCACATACATGCTTGTGGGTAAATCATAGTCTTAATTTGGCCCGTCTTTAATATATTACCAATTTAATTTAATAGATAAACAGTCTAGAGTGACCCTTGACCCTCTCTGCTACTCACTAATGTAGGATAAATTTACTTTATTATACTTTCTTCATTCATTCTGTCTACGTGTCCAAGTCATAAAAGCATTCCTTTCTTAATCTTACAACAATAATAAATAGAATATTTTAAAATTAAAAATTTTGTAAAACCGACTTCAATATAAATTATTAAGAATAACTCAAAAACTATTCGTCAGACCTTTATTAAATTTGTATGGGACCACATGTGAACCACCAGCTTTCAATAAAAAAGAATCATCGGAGAGATTCTGTGCTCGGATGGTGTGAGGTGTACACGTGTCGTTCTGTTTTTGGCTATTTCGTACTTCTGTGAGCTGTTGATTTACTTTTTTGTTTATTATTTTTGTTGGTTTTAGTAGTTATAAATCCGTAACTATTTAGTAATTGTGTTGTTGTATATGTAATTAGTTAAAATAAAATGGAGGAAGATCCTCCCGATCCCGACGGGGTTCCATGTGAATCCCATGCGGGTACCAAAAAAAAATATACCTATCGAGATTGATCAGTCGAATCGTAAAAGATCGCAAACAACCAATAACTCAGTTCATCCACAGAAAAGATTAATTACAGATCCATCTCCACCTGTACCATCTATTCAGACCTCTTACCTGAATCACTGGTGGTAAACGATTCCACAAACAATTCCTGCGAGGAAGAAAACTCCTAGTAAATCGCACAGCGGTGGACCGTCAAGCTTATCGTTCCAAAAAATTGCTGGTGGTAAACGATTCCACAAAGAGTTCGTGCGAGGAAGAAAACTCATAGTAAATCGCACAGCGGTGGACCGTCAAGCTTATCGTTCCGAAAAAATCGATGATGGTAAACGATTCCACAAAGAATTCGTGCGAGGAAGAAAACTCCTAGTAAATCGCACAGCGGTGGACCGTCAAGCTTATCGCGCCGAAAAATCGCTGGTGGTAAACGATTCCACAAAGAATTCGTGAGAGAAAAATAACTCGTAGTAAATCGCACAGCGGTGGACCGTCAAGCTTATCGTTCCGAAAAAATCACTGGTGGTAAGCGATTCCACAAAGAATTCGTGCGAGGAAGAAAACTCCTAGTAAATCGCACAGCGGTGGACCGTCAAGCTTATCGCGCCGAAAAATCGCTGGTGGTAAACGATTCCACAAAGAATTCGTGAGAGAAAAATAACTCCTAGTAAATCGCACAGCGGTGGACCGTCAAGCTTATCGTTCCGAAAAAATCGCTGGTGGTAAACGATTCCACAAAGAATTCGTGATAGAAAAGAAACTCCTAGTAAATCGCACAGCGGTGGACCGTCAAGCTTATCGTTCCGAAAAAATCGCTGGTGGTAAACGATTCCACAAAGAATTCGTGAGAGAAAAATAACTCCTAGTAAATCGCACAGCGGTGGACCGTCAAGCTTATCGTTCCGAAAAAATCGCTGGTGGTAAACGATTCCACAAAGAATTCGTGATAGAAAAGAAACTCCTAGTAAATCGCACAGCGGTGGACCGTCAAGCTTATCGTTCCGAAAAAATCACTGGTGGTAAACGATTCCACAAACAATTCCTGCGAGGAAGAAAACTCCTAGTAAATCGCACAGCGGTGGATCGTCAAGCTTATCGTTCCGATAAAATCGCTGGTGGTAAATGATTCCACAAAGAATTCGTGAGAGAAAAGAAACTCCTAGTAAATCGCACTGTGGTGAACCGTCACGCTTATCGTTCTGAAAATTTCGCTGGTGGTAAACGATTCCACAAAGAATTCGTGCGAGGAAGAAAACTCCTAGTAAATCGCACAGCGGTGGACCGTCAAGCTTATCGTTCCGAAAAAATCGCTGGTGGTAAACGATTCCACAAAGAATTCGTGAGAGAAAAATAACTCCTAGTAAATCGCACAACGGTGGACCGTCAAGCTTATCGTTCCGAAAAAATCGCTGGTGGTAAACGATTCCACAAAGAATTCGTGATAGAAAAGAAACTCCTAGTAAATCGCACAGCAGTGGACCGTCAAGCTTATCGTTCCGAAAAAATCACTGGTGGTAAACGATTCCACAAACAATTCCTGCGAGGAAGAAAACTCCTAGTAAATCGCACAGCGGTGGACCGTCAAGCTTATCGTTCCGAAAAAATCGCTGGTGGTAAACGATTCCACAAAGAATTCGTGAGAGAAAAATAACTCCTAGTAAATCGCACAACGGTGGACCGTCAAGCTTATCGTTCCGAAAAAATCGCTGGTGGTAAACGATTCCACAAAGAATTCGTGATAGAAAAGAAACTCCTAGTAAATCGCACAGCAGTGGACCGTCAAGCTTATCGTTCCGAAAAAATCACTGGTGGTAAACGATTCCACAAACAATTCCTGCGAGGAAGAAAACTCCTAGTAAATCGCACAGCGGTGGACCGTCAAGCTTATCGTTCCGAAAAAATCACTGGTGGTAAACGATTCCACAAAGAATTATTGCGAGGAAGAAAACTCCTAGTTAATCGCACTGTGGTGAACCGTCAAGCTTATCGTTCCGATAAAATCACTGGTAGCAAACGATTCCACAAAGAATTCGTGCGAGGAAGAAAACTCCTAGTAAATCGCACAGCGGTGGACCGTCAAGCTTATCGCGCCGAAAAATCGCTGGTGGTAAACGATCCTGACTACATAGAAAAAAAAACATAAATACTCTAATAACGACAGAGCGCCCTTTATTGTACATGTAAGTAAGATAGTAGATGATTTATCATCTGGAGTAGTTTTAAAACCGATAAAGTTTGGTCATTTTCTCTACTATAATAATATTAAAAATGTTATTAGCGACGGTGTTAAGCGAGTAGGGCGCAATAGAATTTCAGTCGAATTTAAAAGTGCAGCTGATGCAAATTGCTTTATTGAGAACCCAGCCCTTGCAGGTGCTAAATATGATACTGTAATCCCTTCTTATAATATCACTCGCATGGGAATAGTGAGGCAGGTCCCTGTAGAATGGACATTAGAGGAACTCATTTCATCAATCGAGGTCCCAGCTGGTTTTGGCTCAATCATTAAAGCTCGCCGATTTAATAGAAAATCAGTTAATGAAAACCAAAGCACTGTGTGGATTTCCTCTCAAACAGTCCTTTTAACTTTTTCCGGCCAGAAACCTCCTTCTAACATTTATTTTTTTTACAACTCAATGCCTGTTGAGGCCTACATTTTACCACTTATTCAATGTCACAAATGTTGCCGTTTTGGACAAGTTACCTCACAGTATAGATCATCTTCCCGTTGTTTTGTGTGTGCTCAAAATCATGAGGGTATATCATGCACAAGACAGTCTCCCACTTGCCTTTTTTGTTCAGGATCTCACACAGCTAAAGATCCTTCCTGCACTGAACACTTGGCAGAGATCTATCAAATTTACAATCTCACAGGAAAATATTTCCTATCTAGAAGCATCTGCCCGTTTCCCTCAAGTCCGTAGATCTTATGCAGATACAGTTAGAAACCTTCCTATCCTATTTCAAATCCCCCTTTAACTTCAGTTGTCCTTTCACAATCTCATTCTTACAGGAAGACTACATTCACTCCAAGACTTCCGCCAAATCCAGCATCAAGTCATGGATATGATAAATCTACCCATGATGCAATAATAGATACCCCTTCTTCTTCATCTACTAATGGGTGTGCTTTAATAGAGCCGAGTATTTCCCCTAATCTCTGCGAATTAATGGTCTCCATGCTTATAAGAATGCTTTCGCGTCTCAGCGACATGGATCTCCCACTTGCCCTGCAGCAAAAACTTACTGAGCTCATTTCCTTAACAAATAACCTTCCATCCAATACTTCAGTGGAACTGCCGGAGCATTAAAAATAAGAAAAACGAACTAACCTATCTTATTAATAAATACCATCCCCTCATCCTAGCCATCCAAGAGACATGGCTAAAGCCTGGGTCCCATTTTAGGGTCTCAGGCTATTCATGCCTCAGGGATGATAGGAGTGATGGTCATGCTGGCTCTTTCATTCTTATCTCAAAATCAATTACTTATACATTAATTTCCCTTCCTTCTCATAGTCAATTAATGCCGTAGCAGTTAAGAGCTCATAACATTTCTTTTCTTTCTATTTACATTCCCGAACCTAGTCTAAATATCTTATCAGAACCTATGAGGATTATATCCTCCATCCGTCCTCCTATGGTAATTATTGGTGATTTTAATATGCACCATACTTTATGGGGCTCCCATTTTTGGGTGATCCCTGGTCTCCTACATTTTTAGACATCATTGATGATTTAGATCTCTGCCTCCTTAACGATGGTTCACCTACACGTAGAGTTTCCCCCCTCCAAAATCCTAAAAGTGCAGTAGATCTGTCACTCTGTTCTCCTGCTCTGTCATCCCTTCTTTCTTGGAGAATATTACCCATTTCCCATTTCCCATGGCAGTGATCATTTTCCTATTGTTATCAATCCTCCTAACTCCTATACAGCCAATGTTCCATTTAAACCTAGGTTAAAATATAACACATCCAAAGCAAACTGGCATCTGTATTCCACAGTTCTAGAGGAAGAACTTTCAGCCCTTCCTCCGGTTCAGAAAGAGAATGTTCTTCAGGTGTATTCTACTTTTAAAAATGATATTTTATCTGCTGCCAATAAGACAATTCCCATCAAAAAACCTTATAAAAATAATGCTCCTTCACCGCCTTGGTGGGATCAAGATTGTTCTGTAGCATGCAAGAAGAGAAAGGATAACTATATTTTTTATAAAAAAAACTGCTGCTGAAACATTAAAATTACTATCTGAAAAGAAAAAGGCTGGATGGCTTAAATTCTGAGAGTCACTGTCGCCTAGGACTCATCCATCACTAGTCTGGAAAAATATAAAAAAAATTCCGATGTTCAGTTTCGGCCCCTGAAAACACAAATTCTAATGACTTCTTCTTTCTTCTTCAATCTTATTGGCTAGAAAATTTTGCTAGTAAACTTGCTCCTCCTTCAGTTCCATCTTACAATGAATGTTTATTTCAATCACAGTTCCTGCACTATCAACACAGTTTTGACTCCCCTTTCTCTTATGAGGAGTTATATGCTGTTCTTAGTGCCCTTAAAGACTCTTCACCAGGAATCGATGGAATCCCTTATTCTTTTATTACTAATAGCAGTGATTCTACTAAAGCCCATCTTCTTCCTATTTTGAATTATATTTACATGTCCGGTATTCCTCCTGAAGAATGGAAATCCCAAGTTATCTTACCTATTCACAAACCAGGTAAGCCCTACACTGATCCCGCAAGCTACCGCTCTATTGCTCTTTCATGCACAATGGCCAAATTTCTTGAACACCTAATAAAAAATCGTTTAGAATGGTTTCTTGAAAGCAAAAATCTTTTAGCAAAAAGCCAATTTGGATTCCGAAAGGGCTTAAGCACCACGGATAGCATTAGTACTCTAGTTACTGATATTCGTATAGCTTACTCTAAACATGAATACCTTGTTGGAATCTTCCTGGACATCTCGTCTGCATATGACAATGTACTTCTTCCTGTGCTCAGGCAAAAAATGCTTAATCTGAGTATTCCAGTGAGGATAGTAAATTTTGTCTCTAACTTTCTTACTTCTAGATCCATTTATATTGATAGTCAAAATTCTCTACTCCCGCCAAGAATTGTATGGAAAGGTCTCCCACGTGGCTCAGTACTTAGTCCTTTACTCTATTCTATCTATACTTATGATTTAGAACTTTCTGTTAACTCCTTCTGTAACATCCTCCAAAATGCAGACGATATAGCTATATATATTTCCCTAGATAACCTCCTTGCAGCATGTTCCCGCTTGAATATGTCTATGTCTTATTTACAGGATTGGTTAACTGATCATGGTTTGTCTGTTCCCAAAAGCAGTGTTGTGATCTACTCTCGCCATAGGCAAGTTCCTGAAATCAACATTTTCTACAATAATGAACCTATCCCAATTAGGGAGAATGTAAAATTTTTAGAAGTTATTCTTGACTCCAAACTAGCCTTTTCTCATCACATCAACTTTGTCTCAAAAAAATGTGAAAATAATATAAACATTCTTCGCGCTTTATCGGGTGTCTAGTGGGGCTCCCACCCATTCTCCCAAAAAATATTGTACAACGCCCTTATTCGTAGTCATTTAGATTATGGATGTTTTGTCTTGGAACCATGTAATAAGTCTTCCCTAAATATCCTAGACAGGATTCAGTCCAAAAGCCTTCGTATAATCATCGGGGCAATGAAATCTTCTCCAATAAATGCTCTCCAAGTTGAATGTGTGGACCCCCCCCCCCCCTTTACCTAAGAAGACAATAGCTTTTGGACCGATTCTTTTTTAAAATCTACCAACTCTCTTCCCACCCTCTCATTTCTAAATCACACCTCCTTTTGGAGTATATTTCGTCAAAGCATTACTGGACTCAAAGAATCTCCCTGCTTATCCAACAGTTTGGTAACATTACTCCATCTACCACACCCAGTACCACAATGCAAGTCCTGTCCCATATTTGATATCCCATATGATGCAATCATTTTCCAACCAAATATCCACCTCGAACTTGGTATTGAGAAAGATTGCCCTATAGCAAATAGTAAAGTAAGTAGGTTCATAGATAATTTATGGAAAGGCTGGCTTATTATATACACTGATGCCTCCAAAAAGTGGATTCCCTAGATACAAAAGAATTCTTAATTTTAAATGCCCTTCTATTTCTTCCACTTATACTGGCGAGGCCACGGCAATTCATGAAGCTTTAATATATATAGAAGCACACAACTTAAATAAGTCAGTTATTCTTACCGACTCCAAAAGTTGTTTGTTAGCAATTTTGTCAAACCAGTTCCAAAGTAAATATAAGATACCCTTGATCCTCAAAATTAAACACGCATTGTATAGATGTCATCTCAAGGGCATTCAGGTATCCTTAGCTTGGATTCCAGGTCATAGTGACATCAAGGGCAAAGAAACAGCCGATCTGATGGCTAAAAATGCTAGTCGAAATGGTTTGCCATGTAATTTAACTTACTCTTCAGACATAGTGTTACTTGCAAAAAAGAAGTTAAATAATAATTGGAATACATTATGGAAAGCCACTCAAAATATAAAAGGTAAACACTATGCTGCTATACAATGTGCCATCCCTCTAAAACCATGGTTTTTACCAAATTTAATAAAGCTAACAAACATTCTACATCAACTATTTGTAGACTTAGAATTGGCCATGCTTGTACACCAGTACATTTGGCCAAACTGAGGATTAGGGATAGTTCCCTCTGCGAATGTGAGTTAGACGAAGGAACCTCCGACCATATTTTTTTTAATTGTCCTAAATTATCTTGTTCACTCTATGATTATCTGCCTCCTGACATCCCTCGTCCTATAAATTTTGCTTCACTTATAACCTACACAAACACTCCTTATGTATATATTCTGTGTGATTTTATTAACACTAATAGTATAAAAGTTTAATGTTTGTTAATACTAACATACTAATGTAGTTATAGCAACCGTGTTTGTCATTTGTTCTAGGTAATTCAACAGTACAACCATTAGTACTACAAGATAAAAGGGGGAAAAAATTGGTTTAAAGGAAAAAAAAATACTTGTACTATCACAATCTTCTCTTGTATATGGGCATAGTATTTGTAACTACTGAGCTTCTTCTACTTAATAAACGCTTTCACGCTGACATTGGCGAATGATCAAAACCGCTATAAAAAAGAAAGAAGAAGAAGAATCATCGAAATCGGTCCACCCAATAAAAAGTTATGAGGTCACACACATAAAAAAAAAACATACAGTCAAATTGAGTACCGTCTCCTATTTGCAGTCGGTAGAAAATATTTGCCATTTAAGGATTAAAATAATATATTATCACCCCACTCCATGTCATCATCATCATTACAGCGCTTCCAAGTCACTGTTGTACATAGACCTCCCTAAAATAGTTCCTCACAAAGCACAGTCTCATGTTTGCCATAGTTGTAACGCTTGGCAAAACCGCGGTACTTTATAGTAATTTTGTTGTTATCAAAAAGATGTTGCTGCCCTCTCCCGCCTCAGTTTCCCTCGTAAGATGCGCTCTTACGACACCCAGGGGAAGATATGGGGTAGTGGATATTCTTACACCGCCACTACACGGTTAGGTTGTGTCGTTAAATATGTATCATGCTGGGGCCACAGTAACGAGAAACGTCAATGCCCATAAACGCAACAATTATTGCTTTAATTTTAACGCGATAAAGTGAGTGGGCACACTTGGAACAGTCAACGTCATTTCAATGCGGTTAAACGGCAAAGTTGGCGTTAATGTTCCTTAAATTTCAAGCAAGATGGATGGACGTTGACGCTGATACTCTATATTTGCTGAGTGTAAAATTTTATTATATGAATATATTTTATCATTGCCTAAGCATGGCTGTTTGCAGAATGTTAATGCCGTTGTAAAATTATCGCGTTAAGTGGTGACCACACCTACATTCAACGCCCATAAACGCACTAATTAACGGCATTTCTCGTTAGTGTGGCCCGGGCATCAGTATTTTTTTTATACAAACCACAATTATCTCGGTATTATTATCACTATTTTCTTTCAAGGCTAAACGCGTACTCACCAACCCCTCCTCTCGGCGAGCCCTCGCCACAGTGAGTCAGTCCGCACTTTCCTCTCGACCAACTTCTTCCACAGCATGCCCTCGGAGATGACACGCTGCCACTCACGGCACACCAGCTCCGCGGCACACAGCGAGTTTGCGTCCAAATATGACAGGATGTTTTCTGCTACGTGGTCTAGACCTTTTTCTAAAAAAAAAAGCATTTTGTGTATTAATGTCTATAGGGGTGGGACATGGATGTTACACATAACTTCTCGTCTTGTCCGTGTACATTTTAAGACCCATCCTTTTTTATATAAGAGAGGACAAACAAGCATGTGGCTCACCTGATAGTAAGTAACTACTGCCGCTTATGAACAACTGTAACACCAGGAGAATTGCAAGTATGGCTATAACCCAGGAGAGTTGCAGGTTCATAGCCAGCCTTTTATTAAAGAGTAGGCCATTTTCTTGAAGGACCTTAAGTCAGTCAGGTAAAATCGCTGGTGATAGTAGTTTCCACAAGGAAGTTGTGCGGGGAAGAAAACTGGTAAGTCACACAGTGGTGGACCGCCAATCACCCAGATGTCATAGTGAACATAGTTCTGCTGGCATATTTTTATATAATAAGGGTGACAAATGAGCACACAGTCTACCTGATAGTAAGTGGATGCTTGGGCTCACAGACATCTACATCTATCCTCTATTGATTAAGAAATAAAATGCAGATGCGTTGCCACCCGTGAGGACTAAGATACAATGCCGCGTTTCCAGTAAAAAGGGTCCCTGGTTCTCTACACTCACCATATGAAACACAGTAGTAGCAAGCTTTTCCATTATGCTGATATTCTGTGCAAGAGTGATCTTTCCCCTGTCGAGTCAACCCATTCGTGCTACAACCATGTATAAGGGTAGATAAGTGCTTGTTAAATAGCACTAGTTATTATCTGGATGCTGTGGTTTCTTTATTTGTATAAATGCTTTGAAGATGCACCCATTTATTGCAGGCAGTGCTTGTCAAGCTTGCCTGCAATCTTCATGGTTAGTCCAATGCTAGGTATTTTCTAAGGTCGCCACTTACAGGAATACCTCGCAATGCTGAGGTCCGCTCGTCAAAATCGTTAGTAACATTAACAGTCTTATTCCAAAAAAATGTTTTAGTACTGGGTTAAGTTTAGGAGTAAGAAGTCCAGGTTTGTTACAATATTCTAGTTAATACCAGCACTAAAACGTGTGCTTATTACAAAACGCAGACTACCCGAGGACCAGTTAATACCAACGTTAATATTATATTAAATATCATTCACAGATAAAAAACAAAAAATGACACTCTATCATTCGTTCATACAGGTTTCATTCAATGCAACGTTCGGTTTCATAAAATATTAATATTATTTTCACACTTAATTATGCTTAAATAATTATCCATCAATACAAAAACATATCATACATTGTTATTTGTTTACGTTAAAATCTATTGAACAAGCACGACATATACTTTTGACGCGCTTTTGATTATATCAAGTTGTTTTCAGTTTAACAACTCTAGCGTGAAACGTAGTGAATTACAGAGGTAACGCGAGCGCGGGATTCGAGACGTTCAAAATAGTTTATATTGCAGCCTTATAATAAGTAAATTAAATTATTAATAATTAATTAAGTACTTGCTATTACAGTTATATTTATATAATAATGGAACAAAAGAAAAAACGGGGTGAAAATTGGAGTTCTGAAGAAAAAGTTAGTGAAATATCGAAATTTATTTGTCAGTACGTACCAATACTCTTATCCTCCTATTATCCTTATTTCAACTAAAAGGAATGTTCTTATTATTATAGGAAATATTACGTTCACTTATTTCACAATCAGCACATATAATAGAGAATAAGTCGACAAAAACATCGGTATATATTCAAAAAATAAAAGAGTGGAAGAATATAACTAATAAGTAAGTACTTATCGCATTTGTTATGTGTACAAATAGGTACGGTATTGTTTACGTGATTTCGTATTTTTTTTTTAGATTTAATGAGATAACAGGTAAACGCCGATCAGATGGTGAATTGAAATTATCTTGGAAAAGAATGAAGTTGTGTGCTAAATCAAACTTATACACATATAGGAGGGAACAATCAAAGACCGGGGGTGGCGGAAAACCTCCATCACCTTCTCTTGAGGACTTGGAAATAATGTCCATTGCCCCTCACGACTTTATCGTTGAAGTTAATAATTATGATAGTGATGCAGTGGTAAATAAAATTACTTACATGTCTTACAAATTTAATTAAAATTAAAGAACTTTATTTTCCATTACTTTAGTACCTAGGTAGTGCTCTGAAATCTACTCTTAAAGCATACAATTTACAATCCAAAATTATTTTCCGAATATTCAAAATTTAATATACTTAGTAACAATTTAACATAAATTTCTTTATAATTAATTATATTCAAAATTGAAATGTCACAAATTAATATATAGTGGTCTACATAATATCATAACACACATGTTACTAGATTATCTACACAGTCCGATTATAATTTTCTATTTTTGTCTATTAGGTATTATAATTAATAATTTATTAAATTACCTTTTGTCTTGGATCATAATAATATTTCTACAACATAGAAAATACCTGATTCAATAAAGGGCAAAATAGAGGTGACAGGTGACAGGAAAACATGTTAATAAATGTTTTAACGATTTATTTTAGGATCCAGTGGCTGTGGCTACAACATCAAAAGAAGTTGCTGACCCTAAGCCTCGCCTTAATTTTGAAAAAACAGACACAGCTATAGTTAAAAATGTAGAAAATCCAGAACCCAATGTTGTATATGTGCAAGGTAAATAATACTGATTGAATATTTATTAAAAATATATTATTATTATAGTTACAATCATAGGCATACAAGTTTGTAAATATTATAAATGTTAATTTTCTAAAACTGTTATATTTATATTAATTTTTAGAGATAGATCCAACTACAGATACAGAAGAAAGTGCCAAAATGGTGAAAATAACCAACAATAAAGATATTATTACTAGGGGTATAACAAAAATTAAAAACAGGAAACTTAGCTTGCAAAATAGGTATGTTGAAAAAATTACATAGTCTGATACATTACATACTTTTTAAAATGTGAAAATTAGTATTTAAACACTGAAAATTGTTTCATGTTTTCAAATATTAAAAGCAAAGTTTAATATGAATTGATTTAAAAATAATTAAAAAATATTTCTTTAATTGGTGTACAAGGTTAAGTGCACTTTTATTACTCTAGAATACTTTGTAAATGTCTAAAATAACTACAAAACTTACATTAAGTATTCCATTTCATTTTACAGAAGAGAAGATGTACACCAAACAATTGTAAAAAGTAACACAGATTTTAAAAAAAGACAACTGGAAATGATGGAAGAGGAACATAAATACAATATTAAAATAGCTAACCTAAAAATTAGAAAATTAGAGTTACAAATATCTTTATTAGAAAGTCAGAAAAACAAAAGTTAAATAGCAGCTTAATGCTGCTGTGTTTATTATGGTGAGTTTATAGAACGAGAATAGAATAGAATGATTTTTATTAAATATAGATTATTACAGAATACTTATTGAAAGACATTTTTTATTTACCACTGGTTCGGAAAATACCTCAGTCCTGGGAAGAACTAGTAAGAAACCCAGTGGGACTTTTTTATAAACATATTTCTCTTAACAATAATTTTATTTGTACAATTTTTAAATGAATTTTAATAGAACCACCATGGTGGCGATCACCTCAATTCCAGTATTTCCAATATTTTCATTTATGTATTCTTTGATATTATAATAACCTTTTTATAAAATTTTTCTTTAATAAAACATTTAAACTTATTTATTGACAAATTTTGGATAAATTTTTGTACAAATTTTGTATGAGAGAGACCTCTTTTACAGGAAACGAGGCATTCCATCTTACTCCACACGGGTGACAACGCATCTGCATTTTGATTTGTAGTCGAGGATAGATGTGGACGTCTATGCACCACAGCAGTTACTTAACATCAGATGGACTGTGTGTGTGTGTGGTAGACTGTGTTTATCACCATTATCCTATAAAAAAAAAACTAAATATTTGAGACTATATCAGATACATGTTTGTAAATATCCTCATATATGAAACTATTATTTTCAGGTACTTAATTGCTGCAAATATTTGTACATCTTTTAATAATAATTAAAATAAATAATTATAATTAATATGCATTTTATTTACATAACAATGAAATATAATATACAATAGTAAAAAACTATAATAAAAAAAACTAAACCTATTTACTTAGTTATCATACAGTCCTACTCCCCGTGGACCCTTGCACCTCTGGAAAGGAAATCCGGCTGTGAATGTAGAGGAGGGACGATATTTATTAAAAAATCTAAACATATCTCTACAGCACTTAAATCTTTATATAATATAGCTTCATATTGATGTGGAATGTGCTGTACCCCGTATCTTTCCCTGAAACAATCATTTATAGCCTAAATAAAAGCATTTTGCTCAATAAATGAAATATTATCACAATACTCCCCTGAATTTATTTCATATTGGTGAATATGTAGTCGTTATTCTTTGACAGCTGACAACGGCTCTGCAGAAATATTTTCCTTTATAAATGGGTATTATGTCTGAAATCAAAAAGAAATATTATTATAATTGTCTTATACATTTATTGATCTTTAATGTAATTTTATAGCCAAAATTGGCCTCTGAATAACAAAATAAAATAAATTATATATACATAGATTTAGACAATTGAAAAAAATTTGACAATTTTATAAATATAATTATAAATTTTAATTATAAATAGTTATATAAATATGTAAAAAAAAATGTTTACCTACTGAAAATGAGTTTCAATAAACTGTCTTCTAATATTTCCCCTTATTGATGGTGTAACATATCTTTGTACTATAGGTTCAGATGAATATTGTTCAATGCTATCTCTCTCACCAGAAAACACATCTTCTCTCATGTCGATGGCCATATTGTGTAGTACAGCACATGCAACAATTGTTTTTTTGCTGTTTCAATATCTCCAAACATACCTCTTAATAGGCAACAAAACCGTTGCTTCCACAAACCAAAACATCTTTCCACTGTGTTCCTGGTACGGATATGGCTCCTATTATATCTTTCTTCTTGTGGTGTTGTGGGGTTCAGCAGCGGTGTAAATAGGTAAGGAGTACAAGGATAGCCACTGTCACCAAGTAATATTCCAGAGAATGCACCAGCCTCAAACCTCTGTTTTAGTCTACATTCTCGGAATATTCTGGAGTCATGTACACTACCACGCCACCTGGTAACAATGTCCATGATTTTCAGGTCAGCATCACAAACCACCTGTAAAATAAGAGCTCATTAGTACTTTATGTTTTTCTGGTTTATTTTAATATATATTTATTACCATAAGATAGTCAAACAAATTATTTTCTATTATGATAAAGTAAAGCTATTAAGAGACAATCACAGCTATTTAAAATATTTGTATATTACCTGTACATTAATTGAAGAAAATCCTTTTCTATTAATATATAACTGACCCCCATCAGCATTCACTTTCTTTACTCGTATGTGAGTACAGTCAATTGCGCCAATTACTGTAGGAAAATTAGCAATACTGCGAAATTTCCTAATGGTTTCCTGTTGTTCATTTAAAGTAGTAGGCATTTTAATAAATTCTCGGGAATTCCGTGACAAAATTTCCGCTACTTTTTTACATGTCCTACTGACTACTGGTTGAGACACACTATGTAAATTAGCTGTATCGTCTTGAATCTACGAATAAAACAATAATATGTATTATTTGGCTTTTTATCTAGCGTAATGTTAGGTACATTGACCCCACCAAGATTATAAACAGCACTTACTTCATGGCGAGCCCAGTTGCGTAATGCACAAACCACTTGAATTTCAGGACTCAATGGGCACCCTCGAGGGTCGTGCACTAAATCCTCACGTAAGGTACCCACTATTTTTTCTCCGAAACGTTTTGAGAACCTATACTTATACCTAAAATCTTCGTCACTCAATTCAAACGGATTCACACGATGTCGATGTCTATCAGGTCGCCGAGTGGTCTCCAGCATGTCCAAATCTTCTAAATCCATCAAGTCAATCATGTTAATATCCATTTTTAACGATTTTAATAACACCAAATGAAAACAACGCTCACCTCAAATTAAGAAGTACCGAAATTGAGGTTAGTATAGAGTACCACAAACTATATAGAAAGGTTAGTACCATAGCTAAACTAGGGGTCTCGAAAGATTAACTTTAATACCATAGATAATCCTTGAACCAGAGATAATCTTCGTTTTGTAATAACGTTTTTCTTAGTTTATGGTTTAAATATATTACTAACTCCAGTACTATATTAAGTCCGTGTTTTGGAATAAGGCGGTAAGGGTTTACTAAGCTTTTTTGGAGAGATATTGTTGCTTGAATAACTTAATTATTTATATTTATTACGCTATGCTTTTCACACATTAAAAAGTAAATTTTACAAACAGTTATATGTTGTATGTATAACATACTTTGTAAAAAAAGTCCTGCTGGATTTCTCAGTGGTTCATCCCATGACGGAGGATTTTTCCAAATCAATGGTAAAGTAAAAAATTACTTTCAATAAGAATTATTTATAACCTTAAAAATTATTTTATTCTATGTGAATAATTATAGGCAACTTACTTGGTAGCATACTGATGAAATCCCTTTGAAGCATTGGTTTGAGGTATGCATTGATGTGGCCATGCTGATAATGGCACATCCGTGCTAGTAGCTGCTCCACAAACTCCACCTGACATACAAATGAATGACATACATATGACATACATATGAATTCAGTGTTAACATGATCATTATCATTACAGCTTATCAAAGTCCACTGTTGAACATAGGCCTCCCCATAGAATGCCTTATGGGGGGGTGGGGGGGGGGGGTGGTTTAATTTGCCATAGTTGTCGTGCGAATCAGTCGCATCTTACTACACCCACAGGATGATATAGGCTAATGGATTCTCATACCCTGCCACTATACACTGTGTATAAACAATGATATTAGATGCATTATATGCCCACAAAACCACCGAAAAAACTGTTCCGAACCCAGCCGTTCCAGCAGCAGCACACCTACACATTTTGATGTTTTACTTACATTTCACTACACGGCCAGGCCACGGGTATATATTATAAACATAATATATACAAAGAATGTGTATAACATGTAAAATCTTGTAACAAATGTTACAATCAAATTCAAATACTGTCATGAAAACTGCATTTACTTAGAATGGTCGGCATTCATAAGCCAGTTATTTTTTACGCCGGTGCTAGATGGAAAATACTGATGTACGATGGTCTTCACTTTCACTCCCCGACACCAAACTGGATTACTATCCATTAAAAATACGACGTTATCTTATTGCTGACATAATAATTACCACTACCGAAAACTAAACGTTCGGCGCGTCACCACCCTATCATTAGTGCAACAGTTTGCTTCGGTTTTAATAATCTATACAGCAAGCGAGTGGAATTTGTCGCCGTCGATCTTTTCATACAATTACAATCTGGGTGGTACACGCTAAGACAGTGCAATTTGGCAGCATTTAGGGCTCTATCATTTATCACCAGATGAAATTGTAGTCAAGAACTGGCTTATTATAAGTAAAAAATATAATATGCAATACTGTTGACTTGACCAGGGAAGGACAGCGCCTCACAGAATACCAGCATAATGCTACTCTGTTTCATATTGGAAGTGCCGAAAACCGGAGATAGCTTTTGCTGATAATGAGGCTTTTATCTTAGTCGTCAGTCACATCTTGATTCTTAATCGAGGATAGATGTAGGTTAAGTGTAGGACAAATGGGCTTCAACATCAACTTACTATCAGGTGAACTCTATGCTCGTTTATCACTTTCATTCTAAACAAATTATGTCACTAAATTGTAATTGTAAATATTTGCATTTAAAAAATCTTATGGACATTTCTCTTAGTTAACTTTGGGACACCTAATACACAAGGGTCTAGAGTTCTGAGTAATTAATGCCATGGCTTTAATCTTAGCAATCAGACCACAATGGTCAAAGAGCAATACTTACAACAGTCAAAGAGCAATACTTACAACGGTCAAAGAGCAATACTTACAACGGTCAAAGAGCAATACTTACAACGGTCAAAGAGCAATAATTACAACGGCCAAAGAGCAATACTTACAACTGTCAAAGAGCAATACTTACAACGGTCAAAGAGTAATAATTACAACGGCCAAAGAGCAATACTTACAACAGTCAAAGAGCAATACTTACAACGGTCAAAGAGCAATACTTACAACGGTCAAAGAGCAATAATTACAACGGCCAAAGAGCAATACTTACAACTGTCAAAGAGCAATACTTACAACGGTCAAAGAGCAATAATTACAACGGCCAAAGAGCAATACTTACAACAGTCAAAGAGCAATACTTACAACGGTCAAAGAGCAATACTTACAACGGTCAAAGAGCAATAACTACAACGGCCAAAGAGCAATACTTACAACTGTCAAAGAGCAATACTTACAACGGTCAAAGAGCAATAATTACAACGGCCAAAGAGCAATACTTACAACGGTCAAACCGTTGGTCTCGCAACTGATCTCTCTGGTAATGTCAGATTGTCATCCAGTCGAAATGTTATTCTTGGAGAGTAGAGTTCACATGTGTTGTCAAAGGAAGTTGGCGAATAAAGCCGTCGGTCCTGGGTCTGATCTTTCTCCTTCGTGTTGGATTGGAGCGAAGGAATAGAGAGTGTATCTGTATTTGCGCACACACTCGTGCACTATAACCCTGTATAGCGCAGATGGCTAGACTCCGTAGAGACTGGTCGCCGTGATCAAAATTCGAGAGGACATTATTATTATAAATTAAAGTATGACATTAAGATGTTACCTGGTCTGTTTCGTTCCATCTTGAAAATAAGTTCAGGCATGTATTCCTCTCGGCCACGTAGGCGGCGCCACTGGGCGCGGGCCGTACGCCCGTGTCCAGCGACGTTAGAGAGGTCACCTGAAAAATCATCTACACTTAAATTAAAAAATATTAATAATGTCTTATATGGTAAATAAAACTATTTTTACGGATTTCGATAAAATATGTTTATAACTATACACCACACATCATAAAAGAGAATGGGTGAAGGAGAGTTTTGGCCGGGACTTGAACAGTGGAGGATTGCTACTCCTGTATTATTGTTTAAATAATGGTTTGAAGTGGATTTTGATATGTAAAAGTGGTGCAATTTTGTGTATTAAATATCTACGCATGTGAACTACTAGTGGAAACGTTGAAACAATTTAAAAAAAAAATTGCTCTGATGATGATGTGATTTTCAAGATAAGGTGTCTGTCTGCTTAGGCGTCTTGAGATACCATCGCCAACTGTCAGCTGTTTGCTGGCTCAAGTTGCCGTCAAAATCTCCCAAGGACCGAACAATGTGACGCATCAATATATTGCGAAGCAGTGTACTATGAAGGATAATTATACATTGTAACTTCAGGCTCAGAAGGGCTAGAACTCAAAGCCGTAAAGCTAGTTATAAAAAAAACAAATGAGTGAAGAGTGTTGAAGTAAAAACAAATGAGGCACTAATCTATTTCAGTTGAAGTTTGCTTATTGGGGATGAGCCCATGAGAGTATATGCAGCATACAACAAGATCATAAAATAAATGTACTATAGTCAATGTACCAACAATTTTTTTTCTATCATTTCAGCATACTTCTATATTGGTCATAGGTGCCACACTTGCACAAGGCAGGTTGGCCCCGGTCGAGCCAACCCATGCCTACAACTACACTACTAATATAGCTGCAGCATGGCTCTAACATGTAAAAAATCTCATTTCGCAACTTCACAGGGTGTAAGAAATAATTGAATGGTATAAGTTTTTTTTTTTTATGAAAGATAGCAAGTACACTAATGATGAATATCTTATTATAAGTCGTAGTGATGAAATAATCGCAAATATTGTGAGTCAATATAAGTCGTATAACAGGTAGTTAAGAAGTATGTAATATGTATGTATGTATAACTAGGTATGTTACTATACCATAGTGAGGTACAGCATCTGTCAGCGTTGTTAAGTTTGCAATCTGTCCGCCATTGTGAGATAAATGTTTGTACGTAAATCACCTATAACCCGTGTTTACTAAATAATAAAGTTTTTCGTAGTTCTAACAATGTTTGGTTTCGATTCACTGTGCCAATATTATTGATAAGAAGAATGTATCTTTTGCAAGTAAATAAAACAGAAACACTCTAAGTGTATTTAGTTTGTAAGATTTCTCAGGCTTTTATACTACTTACAATGGAATACACTTTAGAAAATATCAACTAGAACAAAAAGCCTTACTGACTTTAAAAACTAAGCAAAGGATTGTGATACAATTTATATAATATATGTGATAGACCAATGTCACCTCTTTAATAGTTTACAGTGGATCATCGGTAATCCAGCCCCAGTTTATTCCCCCCTCCTCCTCCCTTGTACTCCGACATGCCTAATCTCCCTACTACACACTTGTAGAGTGGCATGGGAAGATAGGAAGAAAGGAGGCAGAGATGTAGTGTGGCAACAATACTCATCATGCCACAAGTCATGCTCTTGGTTCATGACCATCGCTCCCTGTTTGTCGGTTTTTTGGGCGCGAGTCAAAGGACTAACAATATGAGCGGGAGTGGCCGGCCACATGATCGCGCGTACGCAGTACGAATAAAGAGCGCTCGTTAGGGAAGCGTCGTTATATTGCGATGAATAGACGTCATCCACCACATCCGTTGGCGGAGCCGACAACGTATATTTCTTTTTATGAAATTGATGTAATTCATCATCATCATTACAGCCCTTCAAAAGTCCACTGCTGAACATAGGCCTCCCCAAGGAATGCCACAAGGCACAGTCCTGAGCCACCTGTATCCATCGACTTCCTGCATATCTTGCCAGATTGTCATTCCATCTAGTGGGGGTCGCCCTAAACTTCACCTACCTGTACGAGGCTACCACTCGAGAACCTTTTTTTCGCCATCAGTTGTCGGTTCTTTGAGCTATATGACCAGCCCATTGCCACTTCAGCTTACTACTGCGAGGAGCATAGCGTGGTGGAGCCATATAACATGTATGTACAGTCACAGAATAAATAATAGTACTACGTAGTACAGTCGAATCGCGTTATGAATCCACCATGGGGGGGAGGTGCCCTTCGCGAACACGATTGCAATTAGTTCGCGCCATCACGAATTTTGCTTGACGCGTATTCTCACAGTTCGAATGTGAGTGTGGTAGTGGTACAGCTGGCATTCATTATTTACTGTTTATGTATTCATTGTGCTTCACATGATTTATTTATTTTATTATTTTATATTTGACGATATGTAATTTGTCGGATTACAAGGTACTCTTTTTCAAAAACTTTCGGACTACCACGGGGCTGTGGCGGTACTCAATAGTATAGTTGATAATCGCCTGTCCACGATGTCCGCTTTGCAAAACATTTTGAGATAGTTTTATACATAAAACTCTACACCCTCTCAAATGTTTCAATTACACTTACAGTATGTGATAATTATATGATCTTAAGTGGTGTTTAGGCAAAAAAATATTTCTTTACACCTTTGCTAAGTTGGTGTCAATAGGCTAATCCTCATCACTATTAGCCTGTAAAAGTCCACTGTTGGTCATAGAGCTCCCCATTGTTAGGAAAATGTCTAAATGGTTATATGCTTAGTGGCGGGGTTAACAATCACGGTACCAGATGTTTTCTTTTTTTACTTATTATAAGCCAGTGCTTGGCCACAATCCCATCTGGTAGTAAGTAGTGTGCAGCTTTAGATGGTAAACCGCACTGTCTTAGCGTAACAGAAGCCTATTGTATTCGGACGGAAAGATAGACGTCGGCAAATTATTCCACTCCTTTGCTGTACGCATTACAAAAAAGGGAAACAAACAGTTTGGGTTCTAATGCGTGGAATATCGACAACAAAGGGGTGAACACCCGTCGACCGTCTAGTTGTCCGATGGTGGAAAGGAGTGGTAATTCCTGCGCACACTCACTGAAATGCATCCTATAGAATACCAAGAGACTGGCCTGTGCTCGAGGCTGACAAGATTGGTTTCAACCAAATGAAGGTCACCAATGAGCCTGTGGCATTTAGTAGCACCAGCCCATATGTGACAGCAGTACTCCATGCACGACCGGACTTGCGCTTAATATAAGGTAAGAAGCTGCCCCGGCGTTAAGTACCGCCGCACCCTTGTAAAAACACAAAGTTTTCTTGCGGCTGCTTTGGCTCTGGGCTCAATGAACCCGCCCATAGTTGAGGTTCGGGGAAAATTCAACCACTAACAATGAAAGCCTTGCAGCAATGATGCTGCTGTCCAGTGCAGGAGTTTAGGTATTTTACATCTGGCAATAAATGATGAGATTACGCCAACATCTATCCAATAGCCATAATAAGATTTTTCTGACATTTCCTATTATCACCCCTTACTACATTCTCTTAAACTGCCACATGGAATCATAAGCCCCTTCGCACACGGCGTCGTGTCGTATGCGTATCGTAATACGCGAGTAGCACGAGACCAATACGACCGCGTACATGTTCAAATGGGTCCGCACACGAAGCGGTGCTGCAGCGAATCGTAGATGTTTATTGTCATTACGATAGTCCTAGTGTCTTGGCGTAAAAAAGCAAGCATAAAAAATTAACTGTTCATTAATTTCTTTAAAAAATTTACTGAATTTTATTTATTTTTTAATTTCTTACGACTTTTAATTTCAATAGGTATGAATAGGACTGAAAATTTATTGAATTCGTGAAACTGGGTGAAGCATTCCCTTGTCTATATAATCATTCATTAAGTGAAAATTCAAGGAAAGATGTAACGGATAAAGCTTGGGCAGAAATATCGTCATAAATATCGCTATCTACTTTTTACATAATCAAACAATAGAAAATCCTTTTCATCTAAAGAGAAAGTAAGATAATCTATAAATTCACCCAACACATCTGGTACCGACGACACCGTGATTTCAACTGAGATCTTACAAAACGATACGTCTACTCGACAATTCGTTTGTATAACACTGCAAGTCTCGTACACGTTGCGTCGTAACGATACGCTTACGATACGACTACGCTTACGACTCGTGTGCGTGGAGCCTTAGGAGAAGAAATACCAATGGCATTAATTCTCTACAATATCATCTGGAATATAGGACTGTTTAATATGAAGTTAATAATGCTGTGACAGTTTTGTAACAAATTTTTATGTTTTGTGTTGCAACACTGATTTTTATAAAATATGAACTTAAGGTTATTGATGGTTTTTGTGCCTTATGGCAGATGATGTGTTAAGAGATAAGTTAAGTTGTATTAAAGTTCTAAATAATAAATCTATGGACATAAAACTGAAAGAGAGTTTCTTTATTAGATTCCACTAACATGTCTGTTTGTCTAAACATTATACAAAAGTTAATTAGGGACCTTCAAGAGCCTTCTCTTGTTTAAAAGGCCCAGAACGCATCTTCAATTCCGATGGTGTTGCAGTTGTTCATGGGCAACGGTAGTCACTTACCACCTGGTGAGTCGCATACTCGTTTGCCTGTTATATATAAAAAAAATCCATAAAATTAGTTTCTAATATCAGATTATGGTAATTTTTAAGCCATCTTATATTGCACCTAATAAGGAATTATAGAGAGAATTAAATTAATAAAGAGAATTAAATTAACACACTATTTTTATTCTCGTAGATAAACATTATCTGAGAATAAAAATAGTGTTACTTAGTAAAAAAAATATTGTTGAAAATAAAATTAATTAATACTATAAAGAGGCATGGATGTATTATGTAAACAGTATTTCGAAGTAGAGAGGTTAACTTTTTGTTTTACTCTTGCAGAGAGGTAGTGTGAATATAAATTTATTACAAATCCCCCAAAATTATAAATATTTCATAAAATAAAACCCAAAATAACAAAAATTCTTTTAAAATAACATTACGAATTTA